AATGTGTTTACATTGGTGCAGGAAATGAGGAAAATACCTAAAGGTACCTACTGCTAAAATTCTGTCTAATCAAGAGCTGGTCAACTTGCATCCTCCTGACAGCGGCTCTAGCTGGGGCTTCTGGAGTCTTTCATTTCCAAAAATGGTTTTAAAATCTGATTATGGTGAGAATAAATGCCGCTCTTCTGTTACACCTAGTTATTCATAAACTCATCTGATTTTGCAAAGTCACCAAGTTAGGCACCTTTTCCATTCTCTCTGGTTATCCAGTTGGTGTTTCTTGGATGTGCTGCTTCCTTTGCTGCTTTGAAAAATGCTCGAAAACCTCTTTGCCCAGTGTGTTTTAACAGCGTGGTCTCTCCCAGCGCAGGACGTTTCCTTCACGCCCATCAGACTCTTCGGTTCACCGCTTTCTCAGCCCTTACGTGTCTCCTGAGATCTGTCACCTTCACATCACGCAGGGCAGGTTAAAGGGGGCTGCTTTGGTCACTGAGTAATGAACAGCTTGTAGCGCTAGGCAATGACCATCAGCTGTGCCTCCATCTCAGTTCTTCTCATCTCTAGGTTGCCCTGTTGGCCACTAAACATTGCTGCTCCCAGCTGCTTCCCTGGGATGTATGTTGTAGCCTATAGGTAGCTGTCTGACTTCTTCAGAACTGCTCTTCTGCAGTTAATATGTTATTTCAATGAGTTAATAATTCTTCCCAGTCCTCTGAAATTCTAGAGTTCATTGCCTAACCACAAATGGTCATTCTCCCATAAGTTGTGTTTGATTCCATTGTGTTGTAATAGAAAGCCAGAAGCAGCAAAATACTGTGCAGCTCATTTTTAACATAACTCAGATTTTTATATAAAAAGGGGCACTGTCTTTGTAGCCAGCTTTTTAAATGTTAAGGAATTTATAATTTTAATAGAGGGTAGTTTAATRTGTTGTCTTCAGTGTTTGGGGAATAACATTCTTCTGCTCAGGTTGTTATTCAGATAATTTAACTTTGTTTCTAATAAGAAACTAATATTATAACATAAACTGTCTCCAGATTTTGACGGATTGTCCACTTATGTGGATGTGCAAGTTACATCAGGGTGTCAAGCACGAGGATGAATCCTACCTGTAGTCAATTCTACATCCTACTTGTTACTATCTATACAACAACTTTGGTATTTTGTTCAGATTTCCCTGGTAACCTTCGACTAGCTGTGTTTTCAGASAGTAAGAAAATATAAAAGCTTCATAATTTCATTGTGACCAATAAATTGAGACTGCTCTGTGTCCTGATGCTAAGTCAGGAGAAAAGAGTCAAAATAGAATTTTGCTGCTGGAACATGTTAACTAAATCTGCCAGATTTAATTCATTGCAATAGAGAAAAACTTGTGCAACCGATTTTAAAACTAAGCATAAATGCAGGTATAAAACAAGCTGGCCAAGGCCTGGGATGAGGCCTTGCAGGTGGGGTGCGTCCTGTTGGGTTCTTGGAGAAGCAGAGGACTTTTCCTAAGGCCACACGGTGTGGTGAAGTCCTGAACCAAGTTGTACCTTAATGCTTCTCCAGAGGAGAAACTTGTCAGCAGCAAAATGTTTCATTTCTTTTTACTGTCCCTTTAGGTTTGGGGATTTGGGGATTTTTTTTTTTTTTTTTTTTTTTTTTTTTTTTTTTTTTTTT